AACTTCATTCCGAGTTCTTGTTCGAGCACGAACATCTCGAATCTTGCGTTACTTGGAAGCGGCTTATATAAGACGCTCTAAACTGGACCTATGCAAACAGTTAAAGCATGTGGTTAACCTAGCCTTGCCTTGGTAACTACGGGCCCCCAGATTTTCACATCCCCCTGCCCCGTTTTTCCCGCAACCCATTTTCCCTGTTTCCCCTCCCACTTTGTTTTAACCTTCCTTCTTTATTAATTAGCCTTAGTGACTATGACCTCTCTGTAAAAATTCAATTTCGTAATTTCCTCATTCGTGAACCTTTAACGCATTGAGTGGATGCGACTGATGAGCACTCACGAAATCTTATGGATCCATTAAATTATGCATTAATCACTATTTTCAAGTAGCTCGTTTTGTTTTGCTAAAGCGTGTTGTGTGCTTGTGAAGATGAAGCGCGTGGTTATACCACACTCCGCTCAAATATTTGTATATTCCCGCTTATTGGACACTAATACTTTTGAAAACTAGTATAAAACGTACTACTTAAGTAGTACAGTCCTCCGAAAACACTCTGCTTAGGTGGTCATAAAGCCCACACTGGATATACCTTGTTTTTGAATCTCCAGTACTCCAAGCCATTGCCACCCCCACCGTAAGTCTTTCCGTTCATAGTGATATCTTTGGCATATTCTGGGCTTGCTTTCAGCCATCTTGCCTAGACGCTGCCTGAAATCAGATCTCTATGTCACTTTAGGGAAGTAAACCCGTCCTCCTCTTTTCTACTTTAATCTTGCACACAGAATGCGATTGATTTGGGACCGATCAATGTTGCCAAGGAAATGCCGATACGACGCTTTCGATTCATGACCCTCCTGGTGATACTATTGTCCATCGTCGTCAGTCAGTGCACTGACAAGGGTAAGTCGGCGCCTGCCGCCTCTTCTGTTCTCATACGTGCCCAATTCCTATTATTTACGATGACGTTGTTGCTACTTACTTTTATTGGGTAGGCGGTTTTGTTTTGCCAATAAATTTCGACTAAGACTCTGCTCCTGCCCCCCGTGATTTGATCTTCAGAGGTCTAGGTCGTTCGATCGCTAGGGCTGGCCCCACATCTGGCGTGATGTCCCGGATCTTATTATTTACGCTGACGTTGTTGCTACTTATTTTGATTAGGTAGTCCGTTTTGTTTTGTCAAAACATTTTTACCAAGGCTCTGCTCGTACCGCCTGGGACTAAATCTCTGAACATCGTTATCAGATATCTGGATTATTTGGCCGCTAAAACTTACCCTGCATTGAGAATAGTGGTGTTCCGGTGCGTCTGGATCTCGGTAAGCCTTTGAGCACCTTCTCCTGAAACGTCATGCTCTGCTTTAAAGTCTTAGTAGATCTTTCTGGTATTTACCCCCCGCCCCACTGGTTTTTTGGGAAGCCGCCTATACCCACTTACTAGGTTTTCCTTAAGCAACAGCGTACCAGCAGTTAGTAGCAAGCGCCTCCAGGAAACTGTGTAGATTGCGCTGGCTAGTAACCATACCTCGCGGTGCCATTGTTGATCTAGAATACATGCTCTATATATACAAATACTAATGCATGCAGGGATGTTAAAGGTAGGAGGCAGCGGTAGCCAACTACGGGCCTGAGAGGTCCATAGAAATCGGTGGGTTACGCATGCCGCCCCCCCCTTCCCCGACGTTATAATCTCGCCACAAGCTACGCTATTCGCCTACCATTAACGCCTCGTACAAATCCCCAAAGCAGAAATCTACAACAGCGGCAGAGGAATGAAAGTGTACTTACGTACTTAGTGCAGCGTATCTAAGGCCAAAAAAGGAGTGCATACGCGTATTTCAAAGTCGGACTGCGCTCGGACCAATTCGATAGTGTCCTTGAAAGGTAACCATGCTGACTGGCATTCCGACTCATCTGATTGGCTGGATAGAGGACTAATCCCGCCAGCAGCTTGTCTGATATCATCACGCGCACGGCCGCGCATGAGCCGATCGATAGTATGGCGCGAGACGAGTCATCAGGTCGGTGTGTGAACGAGCCAGTCGGTTAGGCCTGCCCCTCCCCAAACTCTGTATAGATTGTGGTTATGTGTTACATTTAACTGGTGTTTTTATCCTTGCTCCTGCTCCCTCTCTCTCTCTCTCTGTGTTCCAACAGTGGAGGTGATTCTCAGTTACACGGGCAGTCTGGCCGGTGCCATCATTTGCTACATTCTTCCTGCCTGCGTCTACTTGCCAACCCTTGGCGTCAGCT